CCTGGGGGTCAGCTGCTCCTCTGAGGGCTGAGTCCCGGTTGGGGGGGGGGCAGCGGGGCCCGGGGCGTGACCTCTAAGGGGGACAGGGAGAGGCAGGCGTATGCTGCAGACCCCAGGAAGGAGGCCCTGGGAGCCAGGATGTTCACGGAGATAGCCAAATCTAATCAGTGCCTGGCGCCAGATGCTCACTCCCAGGGCTCTGGAGTCGGCCTGGATCTGTGCCTGCATGAAGGCATCCCAGGGTTCTGAGCCAGAACTGGTCAGTGTTATCCAGCCATGAGAGGTGGAAAATTCCGGCTCCTGGAACTGGATTCCTGCCTCGCCAGGGCAGCTGCCCCGGGGCCTGGCGTGTTCCTCAGTCAGTGCATCCTCCAGGAGCCTGGCTGTGCCATGCGCTGTGCTGGGCGCAGGAGACCATGAGGGAGGCATGGTGCCCTGCAGGGACACTGGCCCTTGCAGGGTCACAGGGACATGGCCGTCAGCTCTGGCCCGAGCACGGGGCATCGGGACCCCAGCTCCTCCCTCCACCTCTGTCTCCTCCCTCAGCCCCCGAACCTTCTGCAACCAGGTGGCCTTCCCAGCCCTGCAGGAGTCGCTGCAGTTTCTGCCAGGGGCCCTGTCCCACCACGAGTGTCCGCATGGCTGTCAGGTGGCCTTGTGCATGGTCGGGCCTGTGCCATGACAGTGCCCCCGGCCCCTGAAGGAAGCCTGGGGACCGCGGCCCTCCCCATCCCACTGCACAGCTGTCCTGCGCTTTGGCCACCGCAGACACCCGCAGACCTGCTCCAGGCCCCTGCAAGGTTGCGCTCCCAGAGCCCCGGCCAGCGGCTCTGACTGCTGCGTCCACAGTGCGTGGTCACCCCAGCAAGTCTGCTCTTCCGCCGGACTCACGCTGTCCTCCCGGCATCCACCCGCAGCTGCCCTGCCCTCATCGGCCTGCGCCAAGTCCCGCCCACCCGTCCACTCCCCGCCAGGCCTGGAGCCTGATCCCTCTTCTCCAGATCCACCAGCCCCCCCAGGCTGCTCCTCGATGGAGCCCTAACCCATCACGTGGCCTGGTGGACAGTGTGGTCACCCACCCTGCCAGCCTTGGGGGTCATCCCGGCCACGCCTTCAACCCTGCGCAGCCCAGGGCCACTTGCTGCGTGGGAAGTGACTCCCTCCGCGCCTCCTTTTTTAAGATCCTTCAGAGTCTGTAAAACGGGGTTAGCAGCCTTCCCACGGGGAGCCCCTAAACCCCTGCCATCTCCCTGGAGAAATGCAGGCCTCCGGGCCATGGTGGGTCTCGCCAGCCTCCCTGAGCTGCTGTGGCCTGAAGTGTGAGCTTCCACCTCACACGGTCTCTCCCCAGCCACGGGGCTTAGGGACCGTGGCTCCTTTCTCCCAGCGGAGGCTCAGGTTCACCCTGTCGGCCCCCCTTTCCTCTCCCGTTCCAGCATCCACGCTGGTGGTGTTCCCGCTGGCACCTCCTCCAGCCTGGACCAGAATCCAGACCCTTCCTATCCTCCCATCCGACAGCCTGGGTGGGAGTCTCAGAGCCTCCTGTCTCACTGGGTCCAGTGCGTGGCCTGATCATTGGTCCTGCCCTGCCGCCCAGCCCAGCGCATCCTGTAAACAGTCATTAGTGTCTCCAGTAACCTCTCACCTCGCTCAAGTTATTGTTAAAGGAAGAACGGATGAATGGATGGATGAGTGGCCTGTTTGCCTCTGCAGCAAGGACAGGAAGGTGGCAGTGAGAGAGCCAGCAGGGAGGAGGCGGCCTCTGCCCCTGAGCCTCCCACGGGCTGGGGAGGGTGGGCAGCAGAGCTGGGGTCTGGGGCCTCTGGGTGGGGCTGGGATGGGACAGCCGTTTCTGGGAACCCTGGCCTGGCTGCTTCCCCAGAACGATGTGTCCCTGGGATGTGTCCCTGGTCCGCAGCCAGCGGTGCCAGCAGCCTGGCAGGTGGAGAAGCTCCAGGCCAGAGCAGATGGCGGCTCCGGGCTGCAGCTCCCTCTGCACGTGTGTCGCTCACCAGCCGTCTGCACAGCTGGCCCCTCCGCCGCGCTTGACTCATCACCAGGGAGAGGACAGCAGGAGGCCGGCAGGCGCGGCCAGGAGGGACACTTGCACTGAGCTATCCCTGCACCTCAAGCTGCACTTCCTCCCCGGATGTGTGCAGAGCGGGTATGCGTGTCCCCCCCAAGTGCCAATCCGGCCTGTCGCCGCCTTTGCCTGCTTCCTGGCCTTGCCACTTGGCCCTCTCTGGTCCTCCATTCCACCCTGCCTGTGACGCCAGGGCTCAGGGCTGCAGCATTTCAAGAGGCTGCAAAATGCTGGTCAGCCATACAGACCCGGGCAGGATGCAGGGTGCAGCCTGGCTCGGGCCCAGGCTCACATTCTCACCTCCGTGCAGAGGTCTCACCTGGGAAGTGGGAAGCAGGCGGCACCAGCCCCACGGGTTGGGGCCATGAGGTGAGACTCAAGTTGTACAGCACACACTCAGGACTGCGGGCACACCCCACAGTGTGCCCAGTCTCTGTGGGCAAGGGCGGGGCGTAGCTCAGTGCAGAGCACTTGCCTGGCTCACCTGAGACCCAGTTCCTCCTCAGTGTTGAAAAAGGAACGAAGGGAGTGAGGGAAGGAGAGAGAAAGGGAAGGAAGAAAGAACAGTTTTTATGGCCAAGCTCTTGGCTCAGCGTCTGTGTTTGAAAATAGGTTGTTTTTGTTTGTTGCTGAATTTTAATTGTTCATTAATAGATGCTTGCTTCTCTCGTGTGCTGGTTGTGTCTTGCACTGTTTTAGATGCTGAGGACGAGGCAGTGACCAGGGCGGACACAAATCTGTGCCTGCCCAGGGTGAGTTCTCAGGGAGAGACCAACCTTGCACAAGAGACATGCGTATCCAGAGTTTGGACTTGGGCTCTGGGGAATCCCAGAAGCCCCGAGAAATAGAACGTGAAGTTAAATGTGTGCGTATTGCTAGGAAAAGGGTCTGGATTACATCAGATGCTCAAGGGGTCAGTGACCCCAAAGGACGAGGGACCTTGCACTCTAGGCAGAGTTAGTGGGCAAGAACAGGTTCTGGAGTCGGAGGCCTGGGTTCGAATCCCTGGCCTGCTGTGGCTGTGCGCCTTCAGGCAAACACGGCACCCTTCTGTGCCCTGGTTGCCTGATCTGAAAATGGGGCCATGATGGTACCTACTTTATAAGGCTGTTCTGAGTAGTAGGTGAGCTAATAAGGTGTGAAGTAAGAAGAAACTTGGCGTATGGTGAATGTTTGTGTTTGTTAAATGAATGAAGAGGTCTCTTCCTTTTTTTTTTACATTGAGACAGTGTTGCTCGAACTTTCGATCCTCCTGCCTCAGCCTCCTGAGTAACTGGAATTGTAAACGGGCTCAGATTGTGATGTTTTAATCAGACCTGACTGGGTTGCTTGACCACCCACACCCCTTTGGAGGGCTTCATGGCCAGAGTCTCACTGTGACCGGCGGGCACCCCACAGAGTTGGCACAGAGCTGAGTGACGCCTTTGCCCCTCTGCCGCCGGATGCTGTGGGCACCGTGACTGTGAGGGATGCTTATGAGGCAGCCACCCCGGCCGGGCCCCAGCAGCCCTGGCCCTGGGTGAAGCAGCCCGGCCCTCCCCACCTGTCCCTGTCCCTGTGCCCGGGGCGCCTTTGGACACACACAGGCCAGTCCCGCACCCACGTGGCAGTGCCGCTCCCCCGGGGCCCCGGCTCTGAAAGCTCCCTACATCCACCTGCCAGGTCCACCTGTCCTGCTCTGGTGGCTGCTGGTGTCCTTGCTCCAGGCTAATCCTGTCTGTATTTTGACCCATTAGTTAAGTAATGATTCACAGGAGCTTTTCAGACCATGGTGGTAGGCGGAGCTTCCCTCTCCCTGGCTTCTTGGTCTGCCGCATTTAAGACCCCAGGGCTTTAGCTACAAGGGTTGCAATTGATTATTGCCTCCTCTCTCTTTCTTTTCTTTCTTTCTTTCTTTCTTTCTTTCTTTCTTTCTTTCTTTCTTTCTTTCTTTCTTTCTAGAACAAAGAGAGAACTGAGCAGGGATGTCAAGGGCAGTGAGCCTTCTTAACAGTTGCTCAGGAAATGTAACCCAGTACATTGTTTTTTTAGAGGAAACTGATACTATGTATGCACCAGGAGTGTTAGAAAAAATGTACACAAATGTTGGCTCTGGGATTCTGCTTTCAAGTCTCTCTCTGTCTCTGTCTCTCTCTCTGTCTCTCTCTGTCTCTGTCTCTCTGTCTCTGTCTCTCTGTCTCTGTCTCTATCTCTCTCTCTCTGTCTCTGTCTGTCTCTGTCTCTCTGTCTCTGTCTCTCTTTGTCTCTCTTTGTCTGTCTCTGTCTCTGTCTGTCTGTCTCCACCTGCCCTGGGCTCCTCACAGCCTCTGAGCATTTTCCTGTTAGCCGGCATGGTCTGAGTAGGCCCTGCCATCCATGTGCTGAAACGGCGTCCCGAGTGCTAATATGAAGCCCCAGGGCTCCGGGGAGGTGGCTCAGTGCCCTCATAAACAGACACACATCCTGTAGAAGAGCCAGGGAGCTCGGTTGCCCTCTCGCCTGAGGACACGCGGGAGGTGCTGTCTGTGATGCAGAATGTGCAGGCAGGAGCAGCTCTGATGCCTGCCAGGTGTGCTCATCATGCAGCCGCCTGGACTGAAATGCCTGGGAGCCTTCCTGAGCCTTTGCTATGTTCCCGTCACTGTAAGGGCCGTGCAGCGCCCAGACACCCCATGAGGTGTCAGACAGACAGCCTTAACAGATAGGGAAACTGAGGCCTCAGAGCACAACTTGCTCGGTGCTGACTGGTGTTGGTGGTGGAGCAGGTGTTGAGTGTCACGGAGCGTGGGTGGATGCAAACAGGACTCAGGACAGGTGCACGGAGAGGCGTGTCTGCGAGGTGGTCAGCCGCTTAACCTCAGGCTCCAGAGGAGTGAGGGCACTGTGGGGCCCGTCGGAAGCCTAGCTCTTGCTGATCCGCTCCTTTTCCCCTCTGCAGGCGCCAGCGTCTCCCCATGGGGTGGCTCTGCTCTGGCCTGCCATTCCCTGTGACCTGCCTGGCGCTGCTGTGGGCGGCCGGCTGTGGTAAGTGACCCCTCTGCGGCGTCCATGACTCCTGCCTACCCAGACCCCAGCGCCCCAGGGAGCAAAACAGAGCTCCTTGGCCTTGTGGGAGAGGACATCCCAGAGGAAGGGACGGCCGGTGACTTAGTATCCCCGCCATAGCGTCCCTTCAGACTGAAAATCTAGGTTGTTCTAGAATAATTTGAGGTAAATTCTAAAGATCACTGAAGGTGACAGAAGAAGACAACACAGAACGGAGTAGGGGAGCTGGGGCAGCCAGGGGACAGCAGGGAGCCAGCCTCAGAGGAACGGGGGCCGTGCAGACATGCGGAACAGCGCAGTCTCATGAGGCACTGTCAAGACCTGGCCAGGCCCAAGGAGGAGTGAGAGAGGAATGGGGATTGCGGGAGGAACAGCGAGGTCACAGGGCCACGCGTCCAGCAGGCATGAGCCCAGGAGCAGCTGCTGCGGTGGGGAAGGACCAGCGGTGCTGGGGCCAGGAGTGGGGAGGTGAGCAGTGTCCAGGGCCATCTGGAAGGTGGCTCTGATTGGAGTTGGCTTGTGAGGGAGGAGGTGGAGTCAAGGTGACCCCAGGACTTCTGACCCAAGCCACAGGGAGACAGGGTTGTCACTTCTGAGATGTGTTTGGGAGGGAAGGGAATGTAAACCTCACTGACAGTGCGCACTGGGGCCAGGCAGGGTGGCCCACGCTGAGCTGGGGCAAGCAGTCACCTGCAGGCCAGGAGCAGAGGGTCCAGAGCACTCAGCAGGCTGCTCCACCCACCCGCCCTTTCCTCCCTCCTGGGAGCCAGGGGACAAAGGCGTCCCAGCCTGGAGCCTGGGGACTCAGCGCAGAGAGGGGCGCAGGGAGGGGGCAGATGGGTGGGCACCTTCCTGCACAGCACCCCGGGCTGGGCTTCGGCAGGCAGGGACTACTAGCGCCTTTCCTCTTCCCTTGGTCGGGAGCTGCATTACCCAAAGAAGAAGGGAGCCTGCGCCCTGCTGGGTCCTCCCCGAGCTGCCCCCTGGCACCTGCGTCACTGGCCCTGCGTGGGTGGTTTCTCAGCTGCCTCAGTCATGCGAATGCCTCTGGGTGGGTTCCCGGCCCCTGAGCAAGCCTATGTCTGCTGTTGGTTCCTGCCACTCAGGGGGTCCCCTGTCCCCACAGGGAGCCTGAAGGTCCTGCAGAAGCCCACCTGCTTCTCAGACTACCTCACCCTCTCCACCTGCGAATGGCGGCTGGACCAGGCCCTGGACTGCAGCGCAGCGCTCCACCTATCCTACCAGCTCCTGTCCAACCCAGACCCCTATGAAGAGTGAGCCCGGGCTGGGATCTTGGGAGGCAGGGTGCTGAGCAGGGCTGCCAGGGCTCCAGGAGTCCTCCTCAGGACACGCCTGTAGAGTGCAGTGGGGGCGTTGCAGCGAGCTGTCACTGCACACATGGTGGGTGGCTCTGACTGGAATAGGGCCCAAGACCTGCATTCTCAAACCCCATGGCCTCTGGACCTCTTGGAACGCTCACGTGAGTCCGCATCCAAGTGCGTCCGCCTGCACTTCCTGTTAGATCTCATCTCACAGCAACACACAGGACCGAGTTAGCAAGGCCTCTGAGCTGTGGCTCCATCCTGTGTCACGTGGCCACCGGAAGACTCCAGTCTTCTGGAGACTGAGAAGGACTCAAGAGTGAGAGAGGAGTAGCATTTCCATGGAAACGGTCTGACCTGGTGATGCCCAAGTCCCTCGAGAGCCCCGGGCAAGGCCGTTGATGGGCAGGGAGGGGACATGCCGGTGGTGGCAGGACTGTCGCAAGGGAGGAGTCCCAGGAGCATGGTGCAGCTCAGGTGTCAGGCTGTGCGGTTCCAGGGCCTGTCAGGCTCCCAGGGCACCGAGCACCCGGGTCTCTGACGGGCGAGATCCGTGCGTGATGGTACACCAGGTACGGCACACTGGCCCTCCGGCCATATCTGGCCTACTACTGTTTTGTAACTAAAGTTTTATTAGTACATAGGCATGCTCCTTCCTGCACATAGGACCCATGGCTTTTTTTGTGCTCTGTCAGCAGAGCTGAGGAGTTGTGACAAAAACTGGATGACCCTCAGAGCCCAAAATACTAATCTCCTGGTCTTTACAGAAAATAGCTGCTGGCCCTGGCCTCCCTGCAAACCTGGGCTGACGTGAGGGGTGCACTAAACTGGCACGTGCCTCTGGGTGGGGTGCTGCCGACTGTGCTTGGGACAAACCGTCACACGGGCACTGGGACACGTGCTGCACTAGTGCATGGCTCTTTATCTCTCAGGACCTGCAGGAAAGAGCTAAGCCCGGGACCAGGGCCTGCAGCCAGGGGAGATGAGACGGGTCCTTGCTGGGGCCGAGGGCTGTGCTAGCAAGGAAGGAACCCGGTCCTCTGCCCCCACCCCACCTGGAGGCTCTGGTCCTGGAATCAATTGGGGCGGGGGGCACGCAGTCCCGAAGGCCCGTCTCAGGGACAGCTGCAGTCACAGCCAGGCCCCTCGTGACCAGCCCGACCTCACTGTTTGCAGAAGCCACGTCTGTGTCCCCGAGAACAGTGCCGCCACGGCATGTGTGTGTGACATGGGCCTGAGAAACCTGGTCGTCATGGACACCTACCAGCTGGACCTGTGGGCCGGGAAGAAGCTGCTGTGGAGCTACAACTTCACGCCCAGCCTGCACGGTGAGTGAGGGCAGTGTGGACTCCAGGCGGGGAGCTGGGCCCCCACCTCCCCCTGTTCCCCAGCCCGAGGGTCTCCCTGCCCCTTGCTGGGCCTCTGCCTCCCCATCTGGGAATGGGGTTGGCTCAGGCACATGTTGGGTCCCCTTCAGCTTGGTCTCTCAAGCCCCTGGATTTGAGTCCGGGAAGGGTGCTGAGAGGAGCACCCTCCCTGCTCTGGGGGCTGCCAGCTGCTGCTCCTGCAGATGGTCGTGGCCAGGAAGGCTGACTGTGTCCCATGGCCCGTCCCTGCAGCAGCTCCTCCGTGACCTTGCTCCACTACTGTGCGACCTGGGGCGAATCTCATTCACCTCTCTGAGCCTCCATTTCCAAAGTCGATTGTTAGCCCCATTTTGCAGTTGAATAACCTGGAGCTCAGAGAAGGCTTCGTTGTCACAGAGCCGTGCAGCAGCCTCGGGAGGCCTTAGGCCACCTCACCAAGGATGCCGTCCCTCCTGGAGGCCCAGGCGCTGCCCACGGCCACCTGGGACTCACCTATGAATGCATTTTATTTTACTTTTACAATTGGCTTTCCTGGGAAGGATTTTTTATTGCCTTATGCTTGTGATTCTTACATTCATCTTGGGGAAATGGTACACACATATATGGCATCTTAATTGTGCACAAATCTTAAAATAATTTTCAGCTTCTGGGGCTCAGTGGTAGAGAACTTGCCCAGCATGCACGAGACCCCAGGTTCAATCCCAGCATCACAAAAAATTAGCAATGATTTTTCTATTTTTATGTTGATTTTAATGCCGATCTTGTGCTTTTGAGCTCATGGAGATGATTGCTAGAAAGACACTAAAGTCTTAAGCGGGCGAATCCAGATGAAGACAGACACTGGGGGAGCAGCTGTGGAGTGTGAGCGCTGACAGCGCTGGGGGGGGGGGGCAGAGCTGTGCCCTGCACTCTTGGCCTTCCCTGCCGGAGACAGTGCCGTGAGGCCTCAGCAGCGTGGTGTCCCCAGCACCCGGAGTGGCTTCACGCTGAGCTACCTGCTGGGGCTTTCTGTTTGGGAGAAGGCTTGAATCCCACAATGCCGGGGCTGTCGAGCAGAGCCACAAGACACTGGAGGGCCTGCGAACGAGCCGGGCAGGCTATGCCCCTCGGTCGCCACTCACCTTGCACCTTCCCTCCCGCAGTGAAGCCCAGAGCCCCGGTGAACCTCACGTTCAGCACCAACGTCTCCAGCGGGTGGCTGCTGTCGTGGAGCAACCTGTACCCGCCCTGGAACTACCTGCACAACAAGCTCACCTACCAGGTCAACGTTTCCAGCAAGAGCGAGCCGGAGCGCGTGAGTGGGCCGTGGGTTCTTACCGCCGGGGGAAGTGGGTGGGCGGGCTGAGAGGAGGCCCTGAGCCTGATCTCAGGAGGTGGCCCGTCCGGACAGCAAAGGTGGCCCGTGGAGAGCCAGCCACCTCCTCCCAGCCCGCACGGGCAGTGCCCTCCCGCTCTCGCTCAATTCCCAGGGCGCCCCTGGGACCTGCCAGGTGGTAGGTGGCTCTCCAGCCACACACTTCTGTAACCTGAGCCCCAGTGTGGAAGGTCACCCCCATCACGGCGAGAAGGGGTCTGGGAGCCCGGGCCTTCGCTCTGAGCTGCCCCAGCCTTTATTTTATTTTATTTTATTTTACTTTGGGGGGGGGGCACCGGGGATTGAACTCGGGTCCTTGCACTTGTGCAGCAGTCAGTGAAACCACTGAGCTAAATCCCCAGCCTATTTTATTTTATTTATTTTCTTTTTTTGAGACAGGCTCTTGCTAAGTTGTCTAGGCTGGCTCAAACTTGCAAATCTCTGGCCCCAGCCTCCCAGTGTGGTGGGATTGTAGCTGTGCGCTGCCATGGAGCAGCTGTTTATTTCTTGGCCCTGTTTTATTCTGTGTTGGCTTCTTTTTTGAAATAATTAAGTTTATTAGTACATTTTAGGTAGAGATAATGATCACATTTGTCATAGGGAATTTGTACCTGGACATGATATATCTTGCTTCTTTTTTGCCCATTCCCCCTCCCTTCAACCCTCCTTCCCCTCCTTATTTAAAAAAAAGCTTTGTGAAAGAAACCTTTGTGGCTTCATTTTTAGGCAGGCTCTTCCTTCATGTAATGGCAAATGCACCCAGGCCAAAGAAAGGAAGCCGGTTTTCTTTTCCCCTTCCTAGTTCCGATAAAATCCTAGCTTGGTGCTTCCTTGGCCTAGTTTAAATCCCATGCCACGGGGAGAAGCAAGTGCTGGTGGAGTGCTCTGATTGGCCAGGGCTGAGAAAGAGATGAAGTTCAGCTTCTCCCATTGGCGGGCAAAAGCTACTGAGACACACCACCTGTGTCTCTCTTCCAACCACAGAGCTGAACCTAAAGAATTGAATCTCTTGTCTGAGCTGGTCACTTGCTCCTCTGTAACCAGTCACAGGCTAGGGATGTGACTCGGTCTCCATGGATGCGGATTAACCCTGGAGCTGAGGACCTCTTCAGAGTAGGACATCAACTCAGTGGCATAGAACCCAGGCTGGTTTCCAGCTGTGTCTGCTTTTGGCAAACTCCAGCTATGGCTCAGACTGGGTAGGATAAATTCTAAGGAGAGATATTAGGAATTTGCTGTGGAATTTTGGGATGCAGCTACTCATTTGCCTGGATGATTTCTAGGCAAGGCTCCATTAAGGACAGGGAGTTTTGGCCTGGGTGTTGAAGGATGCATAGGAGTGTTCTAGCTAGGGAAGGAAAAGAAGACAGAGGGAACTCCATGAGAAAAGGCTTGGAGTTTTTAAAAAAATTGATGGAAGGTCTGAGGTTTAAGAAGATATAGAATCTGGGGTATAGGAGTATGTAATGAACAAGCAGAATTGAGGGCATTAGTCTGGGGCCACAAGTGCCTTTCTCACAGAAACACCTTTTCTTCTGTGTCTACAAAGAGGTGAGGAAACACCTCTAAGGGCTGCAACACCCCCTAGGCTCCACCCCCAGGAGCAGCAGGCCTGGTATTCGAACCAGGATCTGAACTCCTACCCTCTTGTTAACAAATAGTTCCTTGGAAGCTTCGATTTCTGTCTTTCCTGCTGAAACACTGCTCCCCCCTGGGAACAGTGACCTGGCTGTGGCTTCTCCCTCACTGGTGCAGAGGGGCTGAACCCTGTCTGCCTTCCCCGCCCCACATGCCTGGGCCCGCCCAGCCTCCCCCACCCCTGCTGTGACCTCCTGCCTGTGCCCAGGCTCTCCCACCAGGCCCTCTCCTCCCAGCCTCCGGCCGGAAGCCACTGCCAGGCCTGTGGGACAGAGCTGCCCAGGCTGTACCTGTGGGAGGGGGCTCTGGCAGGACACCGGCCCTTCCCTAAGTCAGAATCCATGTTTACTTCCACCCTCCCTTTTTAAACTTTGCTTGGGGTAAAAGTAATATTTACATAAAGCAAAAAATTCCCATGGTAGGAAAGGACACAGCCTGTGGTCCTTCAGCCAGATGTCAGGCCTGGGTCACCTGTGCCAGGGGGCAGAGGCGGAGGTCAGCAGGTGGGGGGCAGTATTCGGGGCCGTCTCTGCTTCCTGCTGCTGAGTGGCCACGCAGTGTCACCTGGGCCTCTGTGGCCTGGGTCCTCAGGCGGGGCTGCAGCGTTGTCTGAGGCTTGACTGCCTCCAAGCTCCTGTGGGCTGGGGCGTCCAGGTCCTCGCAGCCTGGCGACTGGGAGACCTGGTCCCGCTGGCCGCTAGTGGAGCATGACCCAAGTGCCTGCCCTGTGGCCTGCTCGACACCAGTGAGACGGAGCGTTCCCAGCGGGCCGGCCTTACAGGGCCACGTCACACAGTTGTGCATACGCACTGGCTCTGCAAGGCCTCCAGAGAGCTACTGTGTGCCCAGCCCTGTGCTGTGACCTACGGAAACCCCTAGAGCCACACAGCAGCCCCGGGAGGGCCCTCCCTTAGCCCCATTTGCAGAAGGGGAGTTGAGGCCCAGAGGGGTCGCAGCAGTAAGGACTCTCACCTTTGTTTGGCAGATGGAAAAGTGAGCTCGGAAAGCCCCCTCACCTGATGCAGCTGTGTCCACCCCGGCACACCTGCAAAGTGGCAGACAGTGGCCCAAGTGGCAGCCCCGTCCCTGGGCTGCTGGCTCTTCCACGGCATGGGATCAGCCAAGGACAGCCGTTAGGGCGGGAACAGCCCTGCGTGCCGGCTGAGCACTGAGGACTCCCTTCCCCACTAGGTCAAAGTTTACAATGTGACCTACAAGGAGACCACCTTCCACCTCGAAGCCCGAGACCTGACGTCTGGGATCTCCTACACGGCGCGCGTGCGGGCCCTGGCGCAGCTGGGGGGCAGCATCTGGAGCGAGTGGAGCCCCGGGGCCACGTGGGAGAACTGTGAGTCTCATGGGCAGGGCCAGCTCTGCCCCGCTCCCTGCTGAGCCCCTCACCTGCGCTGTCAGAGCTTTCATGCAGTAACAGATCCACTGAGATCTCATGGGGCCGGCTGTGGAAATATTTCCTGCTTGAATTAGTCCAGCGTGAGGCTGCTAGTCTACAGGCAGAATCGGCTTTGTCCGCAGTGCCCAGCACAGGGCTTAAGACAGCCGAGTAGCTCTGATTCTGCCACTGACTGGCAGAAGCAAAGGAGATGGCTCATACAGGACAGACAGCGTGCTGAACACTTGCCAGGTGTTTTTGATGAATGTTTATCGAGCTGCTGTAATAGGCACTGGGGAATCAGAGGTACCGCTCTGCCCAGCTGCCATTCTGGAGGGGAGAGACAAAAACACAAGCTTAGAAAGAAGCCAGCTGGATCCAGGTGACAGGAAGTGCAGGGAAGGAAGCGAGGCAGGCAGGGTCGAGTGATGGGAGGGCAGTGGTAGAGGGAACCCTTCCACGACAAGGTGATGGAAATGGGAAGGGGCAGGAGAAGGAGCCGAATCGCGCTGTCCTCCCGGAGCCCAGGAGGTACGAGGCATTGCCCCTTGTGCAGATGAGCACGGGCTCGGGCAGGGTAAGGGTCTGGCCCTGCCCACCGCAGGGGGAGAGACAGCCCCGGGCCTGCACCTTACCAAGGGCGTGCTGCCTCCACACTGGCTGAGAGCCAGAGCAGAGCCGTGGATAGGTCTGAGCTCTGGGGCGTGGGAGCGTGGGTGCCCCTGCCCCGGGCGCAGTGTTGGGGAGGGTGAGCTCTGGGGCAGGCGGGCTTCCGCCCCGGCGCCCAGCAAGGGCTCATGGTTTCCCCCTTCCAGACTACGAGCAGCCCCTGGAGCAGCGGCTCAAGCTGGGCGTGGTCATCGCCTGCTTCCTGGTGGTGCTCATCTGCCTGTCCTGCTACTGCAGCGTCACCAGGTGAGTCCCCCACCTGTCCACAGGACAGCTTACTGGCGCCGAGACGAGGGCTGGACAGGCCTCCCGGCCCCTGGGCCCTCAGATCTGTCCTGGTGCAGCCCATCCGGAGCCGGGAGGTCTCTAACGGAGGTGCCCAGGAGTTGGGAAGGGGTATTTGGGGTGGGGCCAGACAGGTTTCTCTGTGGAGGGAGCTCGAGTTCCGCTGCCTGGAGGACGGGGAGGGGAAGCCACGGGAAGTGGCTCTGCCTGTCCCCCTCACCCCGTCCCCGGGTCTGGGCTGCACTGGGCAAGTGGCAGGAGGGGAGTCAGGCCGGCACCGCGGGGAGGCAGGAGTCCTGGTCTTGGTGACACACGGTGCTCTGCAGAGAGCTGAGCCCCGTGCAGGGGAGGAGGGCCGGCCCCCGGGAGCAGAGGCAGAGGGGGACGTGCGCGGGCCGCTTGTGGCCGGGCACAGGGGTCTGATGGAGCACCGCTGCATCCCGCGCTCCTGCCTCCCCCAGCCGTGGGCGGGTCTTCTGTGCCACTCCAAGCCTCGCGGGCCCTGCTGCCTCTCTTCCTCCCTCTCACTGCACCCCAGGAGGCCTGGAGCCAGGAGTGCCCTACCACTGAGCTGCATCCCCAGCCCTTTATTTTTAATTTTGAGACAGGTCTCACTCAGTTACCCAGATGGAACTGAAACTTGCAACCCTCCTGCCTCAGCTTCCTGAACGCCAGGCCACCACACCTGGCTCCCTGGCAGTTCCCCAAAAGTGACAGGCGTGTTCTTCCCCCAGAGCCTTTGCACGTGCTGTGCCCCTGCCCAGAAAGCCCTTCCCCGGGCCGCCCAGGCTCACTCTCGCCACCTTCACCCCTGCACCCCGTCCTCTCCCACCCTCACCTCTCCACCCCCTGCCGTCTTTATCTTCTCGCATGGCACTCGCCCCCACGAAGGGATGATGCCATCCAGTCCTGTCCACATCCACGTCCTGGCCACCCCACCTCAAAGGTCAGCTCCAGGACGGCAGGGGTCGCCCCTGTGTCAGTCCCTGTTGGGACCCTGGGGCCTGGCACAGTGATTGCTACATACTAGGTGTTCAGTTAATACAGATTGGGAAGCCAGGTGTAGTGGCTCATCCCTGCAATACCAGAATGCAGGGAGGCTGAGGCAGGAGGGTCACGTTTCAGCCAAGTCTTGGCAGCTTTGCAACTTAGTGAGACCTGTCTCCGAGGCGGGGGTAGCACAAGTACTGTAGCTCGGTGCAGAGAGCCTGGGTTTAATGCCCAGTGCTGAAATAAACAAATCGATGTGCTGGCTAAACCTGGGCCCAAGTTGATCCCAAGCTGGTGGGGGGACATCCAGGGTGCGGTGCGGTGGCCTGGGGTGGGACGGGAGCAGACGCTGCTCCTCTGTGGCTCCCTGGGGACTGCCGAGGAGCCTCGAGCCCTCTGTGGCTGTCCCGCTGCCCGGGCACGGCGGGTCCTCCCCAGCAGCCCCGGGACAGCCGAGGAATCTGGGCCTGAAGCCGCCCTGCCCCATTGTCCTCTGCGGAATGGCGTCTCGGGCCGAGCTCGGGTGGCCTCCCTCGCAGCCGGTTGTGACGGTGGCAGGGTGAGGCCAGCACCGGTTCACAGAAGGTGGTGGTCCAGGGCCAAGCCTCTCCCTGTGTTTCCAGGATTAAGAGAGAGTGGTGGGACCAGATCCCCAACCCAGCCTGCAGCCCCGTGGTGGCCATTGTCCTTCAGGACCCCCAGGTGAGACACTGTCCTGCGGGGTGCAGTGGCCCCTGTGGTCCCTGGAGCCCAGGCTTCCTCTCCCCTCAGCTGGACCCCTCTGGGGGTCTCCAGTATGAGTCACCCCACGTCCTCCCCAGGCAGTCCCTGAAGCAGGAAGGAGGCCAGGAGGAGCACGGAGGGGACAGACACCCTGCGTTCCCCACACCTTTCCTAAGGCAGTCACCAGGAAAAAGTGGGCACCCCTAGAGCGGCCCTGAGGCCACCCCCAAGCCGGGCCAGGTCGGAGGTGTCAGGGCTCCCTGGGACGGAGGGAAGGGACACAGGCCCCATCCAGGTGGCATGTGGCAGCCTCAAGCCAGGTGGTGCTGGCTTTGAAGCCTGGCCCTCCCACTCCCTGGTGTAGACTTGAGCAGGTCTCCGAAGCTCTCCGTGCCCGAGTTTCCTCATTTGTGTTAGGAGTGAACTGAGATAGTGCATGGCACTTGTGGGTTAGAGTCTCGTACATGCCGAGTGTCATATACCTTATCCCCAGGGTTGTGTAAGCACCATCTACTCAGCCCTGCTCTGCAGGTTGGTGCTTTGGGCTGGCTCTGTGATGTGGGTCGGGGAGGCTGGGAGAGCTGGCCGGGCCTGACTGCGTGGCCCCAGGCCCCAGATGTGAGCACCCTGTGGGCAGAGCAAGGCCCCATCGTCTCAGGCCCAGGGTCTGGGGGCTGCAGGCCCAGGCCGAGTTTCCCCCCTGCACTGTTATTATGAGGGAGCTGAGGCCCAGGGTGTTTCAGTGACCACAGGCCTTGTTGGGCTGCCCATGTCAGGTGCCCGCTGAGCGCTGTGTTGCCAGGCTGGGCCGCAGAGCCTCTGCTGGGCTTCACTGCCTGTCTTCTATTCTAGGTGTCACCATGGGAGAAGTGGCCGCGGGGCCAACAGCCCGGGAAACGCCCGTATGTATCTGGACTCAGCCTGCTGGCTTCGGTGGGGCTGGAAGTGACAGCAGACTCCACGAGGCCTCACCCCTGGCTCTGGGGGTGGCAAGAGGGGTTGGGTGGGCTGTTGGCCAGGCCTCTGAGTCACCACTCTTCAGGCCCATGCTGACCCTATTGGGAGTGCCCGGCAGCTGAGAAAGCTGATCGTTAGCACCCAGGTACCAGTAGTGCAAATAGTGGCAAACTGCACACTCACCGCACACGGGCCGGCCTGAGCATTCATGTGCCTCCCCACCCCGTCTCCTCCCTCAGTGCCTCCTGGACCTGCCTGGCACAGAGGTTCGGGGCCCTGCCCTGATCCTAGGACCCTTTCAACCAGTCTGACTATCACAGCTCAGGCAACGGTGCTGTGTCGCAATGTCATTGACCCTGACAGACTTTTCCTTATTCAGGAGACCAAGATAGGCCATGGGCTGAGTTCCAGAAATCCCTCAGGGTGTTCCAATTTAGCAGTAAAGACAGACTCATTGGTCACTGATTATAGAATCAGAGGCCATGTCTGCAATACATAAATATCATACAGGATGATTTCAAACTTTTGGGCTTTGAAGGATAAGTAGGAGTTTTTCAAGTGGCAGTGTTGAACCCTGATCAAGCTTTGCTTTTGCAGACACTGGAAGACATGTCTGACCAAGCTCCTCCCCTGTTTGCTGGAGCATGGCATGAAAAAGGATAAAGACCTCCTGAAGGTGGCCAGAAACAGGCCTTTGCATGGCCCCAGGAAGTCAACATGGTGCCCTATGGAGATCAGCAAGACAGTCCTCCTGCCAGAGACCATCAGTGTGGTGCGGTGTGTTGAGCTGTTTGAGGCCCCGGGAAAGGCTGAGGAAGAGGAGGAGGAGGAGGAGGAGGGAGAGGGTACAAAGTACTTCTGCACGTCAGAGGAGAGCAGCGAGGGCGAGGGCAGTTTTGGAGAGGGCAGGGAGGGCATCGCAGCACGGCTTACCGAGCGCCTGCTCCTGGGCCTGCTGGGCGCCGAGGAGGGGGCCGCCCGCGCCCCGACGCCCCCTGTGCCCAGTGCGGCCCGGGCCCCCGCCTGCACCGCGGAGGCGCTGCTGGTGGAAGACAACCCCGCCTACCGCAGCGTGGGCCCCCTCCTGGGCTGGGCCCAGAGCCCCGGAGAGCCAGCCCCGGATGCCCCGCGGGCCGCGAGCCTGGGGGAAGGGGACCCCGAGGGCCCTGGTGGCGCCCCGCCCACAGAGCCGCCCAGCTGGGAGCAGCTCCTGCGCCTGCGTGTCCTTCAGCACGGGGCCGCCCCTGCTGGCCCCTGCGCCGGCTACCGGGCGTTCGCGCAGGCGGCCGAGCCTGAGGCTGGATACACGGCCTCCCCCGGCCCACACCCCGACGGGGCCGCCTGCTCGGGGCTGACAGGGGCCGGGGCCAGCAGCGGGGCAGGGGGCTACAGACCCTTCCAGGACCTCGCGGCCGGGCCCCTCTTCCCCCTTGGCCTGGACGTGGAGCCGCCTCGCAGCCCCGCAGCTGGCCTGGGCCCGGGGGTCACGGAGGACGAGCAGAAGCCCCCGCGGCCCCCACAGCAGGCCGCAGAGCCCGTCGGGGACGACCTGGGCAGCGGCGGCGTCTACTCTGCCCTCACCTGCCACCTGTGTGGCCACCTGAAGCAGTGCCACGGCCAGGAGGAGCCCGGCCAGGCCCAAGTCGCGCCCGGGCCCGGCTGCGGCTGCTGCTGTGGGGACAGGGCCTTGCCCCCAGGGCCGCCCCCTGCCCAGCGCAGCCCCGCGGGCCCCTCCGTCTCCAAGGAGGCCAAGACTGCTGCCCCCAGCGGCGCTCACAGCTCCAGCCAGGCCTGGAAAGGGCCGGGCCTGGGACCCCCGGGGCGCCCGAGCGCGAGGGTTTCCTAGGGACAGGCTTCTCAAGCTGCCGCTCGGCCAGGGGCCCGGGGCTGCCCGGGCCAGCAAGCACCCCCCTCAGGAGGCAGCGTGCGGGCTTCCCGCAGCCCGAGAGGTGAGGACCCGGCCGCAGACGCCCGCCTGCAGGGGCCGAGGGGTGCAGGCAGCTGTGTCCACGGCAGGGCACAGGGACCGCGAGTGGGGAACAGCCCGTCTGACAGCTCTGCCTGCCTCCCAGCACCTGCAGCAGACGCCCTGGCCCGGTCTGTCCACACACCGGTCCTTGCTGGCCTGGGCCTCAGTGTCCCCATCTTGCCCAATGGAAGATGGAGCCCGGAAACTAGCGGCCAGCCGAGGGGGACTCGGGAGGCCTCGGCAGTGGGCAGAGTGGGGTCCCAGAGGCGCCCTCTTTCTCTGCACAGTGATCTTCAGGCGATGCTGGAGGCTGTTGGGCTGGGGCTCCCTCCCGGCCACTGAGCACACAGACTCCGCCTCGGGGCTGCTCTCGATGGGCGCCGCTCCCAGGATGGTGTCCCCACCTGCCTGTGTTCCCTGGGGAGGGTGGAACAGGACCGGTTTAGAGTTTTATATAATCTCGTTACTTTTTGTTTATTAAACAAACTTGCTGCCAGGCTCTGCGGTGGGGCTTTCTTAACCTCGGAATCTTCCCATCCACAGGAACCAGGGCGCTCTCAGGAGGTTAACTACTTGCAGTGTCAGGTCCCAGGGAAGCTGCTTCCAGGTTCTCGAACAAAGAACTGAGTTGGGCTCAAAAGGAGTCCCAAGAGTGAGATTTATAGAAAGTGAAAGAAGCAGGTGCACTGGCGGCACACATCTATAATCCCAGCTGCAGGAGGCTGAGGCAGGAGGAGCCTGGAGAGTTCAGGGCAGCCTGGGCTGCATAGCAAGATGCTAGCTCAAAAAAAAAAAAAAGAAGAAAAATCAAAACAGAAGCAAAAGTCTGTTCCCCAGGGCACAAGCGGCCAGTGCAGGGGGCTCACAACCCAGTCTGGACAGGCCCTGGCTGTCTAGGTCCCGGGGGGATAGAAGGGTCTATAGTGGAGGCTCATGACATCTCACGTGGGGGGGCACCTGCCTCAGCCACGGCTCAGGGGAGGTTGGTTGACCACACAAGGATTGTAGAGGAAGCGTCATGGCATCCAGAGCACACTGGGAAGAGGTCAAATCTACAACGCAGATCCAGCTGGACGCAGGCCAGGGCCCTGTACTTTTGGTTCTGCCTATGCCTGGGGGCCTTTGGGTGACAGGGTGACCTTTATGGGTTTTCCTTATTCCTGACCCTCGGCTTCCTGCTTACTTGTCCTGCCTCTACCTCAAAAAGTTATCCTGGAAGCCCTGCCAAGGGTGGGGAACAAGCCTAGGAAGGTAACAGGCCAGACAGGTGTTATAAACGAGTCACTAGCTCCGTGACAAACACTGCGCCCTTCCATGCAGTGCAGAGACAGCCCTGGGACACGTACAGAGACGGGGCACGCGTCATAGGTGGAGGGCTGTCATTTCCAGGGAATGAATTCTCCCCTGTCCAGCTGCTTCAGGGGAAAACTTCCCAGAGTCCACATTGAGGACATGTGGACAGGGTGGGAGACTGAGCAATGCCCCACAGCCAGGTCCTGGCAGGCCCACAGCCAAACCCAGCAGTGACCTCACTGTTCACTGCAGGCTGCACGCTCAACATCCCCGGCACACCAAGTGATGAGGTGGGCTAGGGGCTGGCAGGGGACCTCAAGCTTCTTGCTGGAATCATGGACAGGAGGGAGCTGTGAAGAACAAATGGAGATCTGAGATGGGGGTGGGGGACAGTGTGCTCAGGGAGGACTTAAGGTGACATTTGAGCTGGGCAAGGAAAGATGAACTGGAGAAAGAATATGCCAGGCAGAGGATACTGTATGTGCAAAGGCCCTGAGGCATGAGGACTTTGGCTAATAGTACAGAAAGACCAGCTGCAGAGAAACAAGCCAGGGACTGGTGGTGGTGGTGGAGATAAGGTCGGGGCATGATAGGGCCAGAGTGAAGAATCTGTATTTGGGCTTCATAGCACATTAACCCCATTCCCTTAGAAACCAGTCTCCCATCAATCTCCCCAATCTTAACACGCCTGTAACTAGGAGGCAGTTAAAGAAGGGCACCCATGGGTTGTGTTCCTCCCAAAGGGCTCCCCCTCCACCTTGCAGAAGTGGAGGTCTAACAGTCCTCCTGACAGCAGCGACGGGTGGTTAGAATCCTGACCACTGGTATTTGTCACCCTGGACTCCCTCCAGGAATGAGCTGCTTCACGGTGGGGAAAGGGGGCTCCCAGGAGCTTCCTTGGAATTTCCTTGGTAATTTTACTTTTTCAAAAGCTCCTTCCAGTCCAGTCCTTGACCTCCCAGGAACTGGCATCTGCATTGGTCAGGAGCCCCCAGGGTATGGAGCCCTGGCTAGCTCTGCATCTGACTGTCCAGCCCCGCAGGCTGCCTGGCCCGGCTCTCTTTTAGAAGGTAGGAAAGGCTCTCCAGGGGCCCAGGCAGCAGGAGCACAGAGGCACAAATGACTTAGAAACTCAGATCTTGGGCCCTGACTGAGGCCCCGGCCTCCTCCAGTCCCTGCGCCAGCCGCCTGTGGTTCATCCTGAGCTGGAGCCTGGGGTCTCACAAGCCCAGCACAAACTCTCTGCTCATCCCTGCCCATCTTGGATGCTGCTCGGCAACAGACCTGGCCCCTCTGGGCCTCACTCTCCAGTATCTGGAGCAGCTTTGCCAGGAGGCGACTGGGAAAGCAGACAGACACTGCTTAGGTTATGAGCATGGATCGCAGTTTTACTTCTAACATGCAGGAAGGGGGTCCGAGAGAACAGAGGCGCAGTCTGCAGTTGTTCCTCCGGCAGAACTTTGTGCCAGGATGGAAACAACCTTAGTCCCTTCTCTACAGCCAGTAACACAGTGCCACGGCCGGCACGATAAAGAAAGGAGGTTTACTCCGGCTTGCAGGGCCGGGTCGGGGTCCCCGGGAGCCCTGGCCTCTGTCCTCACGAAGCCTCCAGGGCTCGGTCCCAGGGCTCCCCTCTGCTGACCTCATGGACCCTAGCCACTCGAGGCCTCGCCCAGGGCGCCTCAGTGAAGCTTCCCCCTCTCAGCACCGCATGGGAAGCCCTGCACTCTGGCATTTTTTGGGAGGGGACAAAGCTCATTGGAAGCATAGTGGAGATGTTACCTGCGGTTCCTGGAGATGGCCTCTAGCGCCTGAAATGTACGACTGAGAGGCTTTAATTTTCACTTAATCATAATTAACATTTGCATTTTAAAATGATTAACTCTTAAGTATTCCTACACACTGTTTTCCATTGCCTCAGCCTGGAGGAGGGGAAGTTCTGGGAAGATGGAAGGAGAGGGGCCAAGAGGACTAGCTCACACCGGAAGTTTAGCCCAGAGCCACAGCGCTGGGGGGCTGGGGGAGCCCTCGGCCCAGCGCAGGTTGCGGACCCCCGCGGGGGCAGGCGGGTGGCAGGAACTTCCCAGCTGCCCTCACCGCGCAGGACCAGAGGTGCCGAGGAGCGGCCCAGCCCCCCAAGGACCCCGCTGACACCTCCGGAGGCATCGATTTGGGGGCCTCTCCTGGGCATCACACCCTCTGCCCCGCCTTTCAAAGATGGGGCCCCCAGGAACAATGAGTGGGTCTGCTTTCATTTTTAATTTTTATTTAATTAATTTTTTTGGTACCGAGGATCGAACTCGGGTCCTTGCGCTTGCGAGGCAGGCGGCGAAACCACTGAGCTAAATCCCCAGCCCTGCTTTCATTTTTTAAAAAACCAAAAGCAGCTTCTTGGATTTTTCTGATTCCTAAATTGGCAGTGCAAGCCTTCCCCGATGCAGAGGCAGAGAAAACCTCAAGGTCGCAAAGAGGAAAGTTGAAAACCCCCGGAAACCCGGTCCCCACCCCAGCATCTGGGCCCCTGTGGGCACTCGCAAAATGAATGTCTCTTTTGAAGCAGTTCCTCCCTTGACATCCTGTTGATAAGCCTCTCTGACATTGTTTTCCCACGAAAGTTAATTAAGAACCAGAGGAGCAAAAAACAAAAACAAAAAAAAACCCAGCAAGTATCTACGTCTCCGAGAAGGGAGGTCTGACCTCACCGGAACCGGAGCCGAGCGCCCCGACCTGGACCCGCGCCCTCACCGCCCTCGCCCTGCGGCCCAGGCCCCCGCTCCGACCCTGCCCTCGGTTCCGCGCTGTGACCTGGGCAGGGCTCTGGACCTCTCGGGGCCTCGTCTTCTGACCCGGACTAGGCCACCTGCCTGGAGAAGCGCGGGAAGGGTCAGCTCCTCGGTCCCTGCTGCCCCCTGGTGGCCTGAGCTGGGCCCCAGAGGGTGGGGAGCTGGGGCGCCAGGGCACTGCGCGCCTCCTGGCTACACGCTCGCCCCGGGGGCGTGGGCGGTGCGGAGCCTGAGCCTCGGTGGGGGGCGGCGACCTCCTCGGCTGCGTCCACTTCCCACCCTGAGGGCAGGTCCGTAAGGGCCGGACCAGAACAAGAGCGGACATTCAGGGCAGGGAGGGCCTGCCCGCTCCGCGCACCCCGGAATTCACCTCCGGAGGGCCTGCAGCACCGGCACTGGGCCACGCTGCGCTGTTCAGAGTCGGCCGTGCGCGGGGACAGTGTAGTTGAAAACAGACATTCTTCTGACAGCGGTTGGCGGGATCCAAGGATGCGGACAGCAGGTCGGAGGGCGGGCCGCGCACGCCCTGCCCGGGCCCGCGGAGGGGGATCCGGATGGCGACCCTGGCTCCAGCGATCAGGCCGCCATCCTCTGGGTGGTTCCTGACCCGGCCCCAGCCCCAGCCTCATTCTCACCGGGCCTCTTCCTGGGCCGGCCACAGCGCGCTCTCGCTCTGACCCGAACTGGTAGGCTGACTTCCGTGACCCTGGCCGCAGGCTCCCAGCCGCCCGCTGACCCCTGAGCCAGCCTCTGACTGGCCACGCTAACCTTCCCCTGCTGTATACTGACCCCTCCCTCAGCAGGACCCCGCCAGGAACTGGCATTCGAGACAGCACATTCAGCCTGAGCTGGTCACCGCAGCTAGCCTGTCTGCCCGTCCTCTCTGTGACGGGAATGCGAGAAGCTCTGCTTCTTAGTCAAAGAAAGCCTCTTGAGAAGGCGCCTCTGTCATCTTCCTTTTACCTTGATGTGATGTCTGGTGCTCTGGCAGCCGTCTTGTAATCATGAAAGGACAAGCAGAGATAGCATTCTGATTTCAGCAGAGTGGAAGAAGAAATCAGCCTGGGTCCTTGACTATGTCATTGAATGATCGCACCGATCTCTGATTTCTTAAATAAGCCATGAGTGTGCTTTGCTTAAACCACTATGGAATTCTTGTACAGCCATTAGCAGTTTTTAAAAGTGCGGGTGATAGAATATGAATCTCTGAAGATGTCCCATCCTGTCCCTGGCATCTGTGAGCACATCACATTATGATCAAGGGAGAATCAAGGCTGCAGGAGGAACAAAATCTGCCTGTCGCTGACCCGGACGTGGTGAGCCGTCCAGGATCTCTAGATGGAGTGACACAGTCGCAGGCGACCCTCTAAATGGAAGAGGGTGCTGGGGAGTTAGGGAACTGGGCCTTGTGCTGCTGGCCCTG